TCCTCCTCCCTGGAAACCTGAATGTAAGGCATAATTTCCGCCCAATTTCTCTCTCTCTCACACACACACACACACACACACACACACACACACACACACACACACACACACACACACACACACACACACACACACACACACACACACACACACACACACACACACACACACACACACACACACACACACACACACACACACACACACACACACACACACACACACACACACACACACACACACACACACACACACACACACACACACACACACACACACGATGTAATGCTTACGTCTTGGATTCTGTAGAAAAAAACTTCCCGTCTGGTCCTGACTCTGCCCCAAAACCACACCAACACTTCACTGACACATGTAAAGACACAGATGGGACTTCATAAGCCACGGTTCAGGCTCCGACGTCACGTTTAAAGTCCTGAACTATGGGTGAACAAGTACACAACTCGCTGGACTATTAAGCACACCAGCTACAGTTCAAAAAGTGATGAAAAATAAGTCAAAAATTGCTCAAATTTGACAAAATGTGGCTTAATTTGAGCAAATTCTGACAGAGCCTTGAAGCAATGGGACAAAGAAAAATGATCTTGTTTTAAAAAGATACGAGAAATGTCCCCCTTGAAATGAGACAATAAAGTATATAAAGCTTTGATCTCTCTCTGGTCTCTCTCTGGTCTCTCTCTCTGCTCTCTCTCTGGTCTCTCTCTGCTCTCTCTCTGGTCTCTCTCTCTGGTCTCTCTCTGGTCTCTCTCAGTCTCTCTCTGGACTCTCTCTGGTCTCTCTCTCAGTCTCTCTCTGGTCTCTCTCTCTGGTCTCTCTCAGTCTCTCTCTCTGGTCTCTCTCAGTCTCTCTCTGCTCTCTCTCTGGTCTCTCTCTGCTCTCTCTCTGGTCTCTCTCTCTGGTCTCTCTCTGGTCTCTCTCAGTCTCTCTCTGGTCTCTCTCTGGTCTCTCTCTCAGTCTCTCTCTGGTCTCTCTCTGGTCTCTCTCTGGTCTCTCTGGTCTTTCTCTCTGGTCTCTTTCTGCTCTCTCTCCGATCTTATCTCTCTCTCTGCTCTCTCTCTGGTCTCCCTCTGGTCTCCTTCCGGTCTTATCTCTCTCTGCTCTCTCCCTCTCTCTCTGCTCTCTTTCAGGTCTCTCTCTCTCTGCTCTCTCTCTCAGAGTGTGTTCACTCCTGAATCAGCTGATATCAACTTCAACCAGACTCCTCCACAGAAAGTCTCTCCACAAACCTCTCTCCGGCTGAACGACTTGTGTCTATTGAAATGATATAGCAATAAAAGTGTATATTTTAGCCGTGCATTGTCTCCGCGCTGTTAATTGGCCCCTCATTTGTGCTCGGATGGGCTCGGAGCCATGGGGGAAACCGTAAGATGCAGCTCAGCGTGGGAAAGTTCACTCCTATGCAACCGCACTCTCACATTTGATTTCATGGCCGAGCCTCAGCGTCACTAAATGTGTCCAAGCCTCCAATGTTTGCACAAGGCACGACGTCGCGAGCCAGTTCCCAAAAAACGCACTGAGCAACATAAAAGTGACAACAGGGAGAGAAACGGTCGGTGCTTAAAGCCGATCTCGCCGCGGTTTGTGGTTTTCTCATCAAAAAATAAACTTGGAATGTTTTGAATGGCTCCGAATCGTGCCAAGTGCAGCCGTGAGACACAAAGAAGATGGAATACACAGTGTTTGTCTATGAAACAGCCTCCACAATGGACACACAAACACACACACACGCACACACACACACACACACACACACACACACATGCACACACACACACACACACACACACGAAATTTCAATGTAATTACGTTTAAGTTAAATGATCTCGCTCCTCGACGGTGATCCAAGTGCTGGTTACTATAGCAACACACCGTTCACTTTCGTTACTAAAAATAACATAAATTAAGCTTGTTTTTCTAATGGCAAGTTTTTTGTCGTTGCTTGAATGTAGTTTGTCATAAGAATATTTCACTAGTTTTAAGATAATACTTCATAATCTTAGAGAAAAAACCTGAGCATTGAGTTTTTAATGCTTGGTATAAGTATTGTTTTATTATTTCCAGACAATTTTTCTTGTTTAGATAAAATAAGTTTGTGATGCTATAATTTAAAAAAACATTTCTCTTTAATAAGGTAAATAATAAGTAAATAATACTTGAAATGTATGTTTTTGAACTAGAATCAATTCATTTGGGGCTGGGATTATTAAAAAGTGAATCTTTCCTTCTGCCGGAGACAAAATACCAATTTTCTAGTAAGAAGAGAGCTGGGTTTTCTGGGAGCTGGTGTGAGTGAAATCAAGAAGAGAGACCAGGGAGAGACAAGTGAGAGATCCAGAGAGAGAGACCAAAGACAGACCAGAGAGAGACCAGAGAGATCCAGAGAAAGACCAGAGAGGGACCAGAGAGAGACCAGAGAGAGAAGAGAGAGAGACCAGAGAGAGACCAGAGAGATCCAGAGACAGACCAGAGAGAGACCAGAGAGAGACCAGAGAGAGAAGAGAGAGAGACCACAGAGAGAGACCAGAGAGAGACCAGAGAGATCCAGAGACAGACCAGAGAGAGACCAGAGAGAGACCGGTGAGAGATCCAGGGAGAGACAAGTGAGAGATCCAGAGAGATCCAGAGAAAGACACGTGAGATATCCAGAGAGAGAGACCAGAAAGATCCAGAAAAAGACCAGAGAGGGACCAGAGAGAGAAGAGAGAGAGCCCAGAGAGAGGCCAGAAAGAGAAGAGAGAGAGACCAGAGATAGAACAGAGAGATCCAGAGAGAGACCAGAGATAGACCATGAGAGACAAGTGAGACCATGCCGCCCACAAACACTCTGGTATACATGTTAGAAAGTAAACAATAAAAATACTAAAAAGAGCACCAAGATCACTCAGACCAGTGCATGTTCATAACAGGTCACATTCTTTCACAAGTTCCTGGTTCGTGGTTATTAAAAAACATGTTGAGATATGGGACGGTTTCACTTCCTCATTCCACCGTCGTTAGACTATTCTGACACCAGTCTGTACAGTGGAGGGTATTTCTGTCAGCTCTTTCTCCGTGACTCGTACGTCTTGTGACACAGTGACACACATACACAGACACAGTGACACACACACACACACACACAAACACAGTAACACATACACACACAGAGTGACACACACACACAGTGACACACACAGTGACACACACACACACACACACACACACACACACACACACAGTGACACACACACACACACATACACACACAGTGACACACACACACACTCCAGCTGGACTCGCCCCTCTCTTGCTATACAGACTCTCACATGTGTCCACTGTTACTTTACAGAGTCATCATCAGTCCCAGAGCGTCTGATGATGCAACACTGACATTTCCTAAAGCAATAGTGGAAGAAGTCCTGAGCAAAATGGATGCAAATTTATATTCAAATTGGTCTTTGTGAAGTAAAGTAAGTAAATCAGGGCTGGGAAAGGATAGTAGAGAGTTAAAGGGCCAGTATTGCACTATCTCAGAACCTAGTAGCAGAAAGAATAATAAGAAGAAAGCAGTCCAAATATAGAAAATAGAAATTAATCTTTGTTGTAACGAAATACAACTACTTGGATACTTTAAAAGACAGCCTATCGTGGTGTATGCTTCATCCATTCCCTTACATTGAAAAGTAAACTCGTCTAGCTCAGGGATGTCAGAGTCAAATACATCAGAGGCCGGACTGGTTCAATGTTCGTTAAAACATATTAAAATGAATGCAGTTAGTCACAATTAGCACAAAAAGTAAAACTTTCCTTCTGCCGAAGACAAAATACCAATTTTCTAGTGGGACCTGCATGGAGCTGGGTTTTCTACCAAATGTGTGAGTGAAAACAAGAAGAGAGACCAGGGAGAGAACAGAGAGAGAGAACACAGATAGAGACCAGAGAAAGATCCAGAAAGAGACCAGAGAGAGACCAGAAAGAGAGACCAGATAGAGACCAGAGAGAGATCCAGAAAGAGACCAGAGAGAGACCAGAAAGAGAGACCAGATAGAGACCAGAGAGAGATCCAGAAAGAGACCAGAGAGAGACCAGAAAGAGAGAAGAGAGAGAGGGACCAGAGAGAAAAAAAACCCTCAGCCCCCATGCCACCAACGAATGGTACACGTTATAATGTAAACGATAAAAATACTAAAAAGAGCACCAAGATCACTCAGACCAGTGCATTTTCATAACAGGTCACATTCTTTCACAAGTTCCTTGTTTGTGGTTATTAAAAACTGCTTATTTGAAAATATTCTGTGATATGGGACGGTTTCACTTCCTCATTCCACCGTCGTCAGACTATTCTGACACCAGTCTGTACAGTGCTGGGTATTTCTGTCAGCTCTTTCTCCGTGACTCGTACATCTTGTGACACACACACACACACACACATACACACAAACACACACACACACAGTGACACACACACACACACATACATGCACCACTTCCAGCTGGACTCAGACTTCTCTTGACAACTGAGATCACAGATGAGTAAAGGGCCGTTCCCAACGCTGACACAGCATTTAATTTCAGATTAATGAGTTTAGTAAAGCTGTCCTCAAATGCCAATAAATGCAGGGCGGAGATGGTGGGCGGGCTTTGACGCAAGTTAGTTAGTTGGTTGGATACTTTATTGATCCCCGGAGGAGAAATGCAGGTGTCCAGTAGCAGCAAAAACACATCCATCCGCAAAAACAAATAAATTGATCGTTCTAAAAAGATAGTAAAAAATAAGCAACAGCACGTCAGGTCACAGCAGCAGAAGTGGACTCATGCTTGTAATTTGACTCCTTGCAGGTGGGGGTGTACCTGGAAACGGAATTATCCGGTGGATTCTTTTGCCGTTATCTTTCCTCTCAAAAAAGGCTTTACAGGACAGTCCAAAGGTCGTTCTTGACTCAACCCTATGTTCCAGATGTTGTCAATGCTTTTTTTTATTATCATTATCTTTTTGGACCAGCCTAGTTTGGCCACTGTGGACTTTTGAATGCACTCGTTTCGTTCGTTGCTGTGGACCGAACGGGGCCCGGAGTCAGGGAGTTCAGACCCGCTGCTCGGAGAGACCACAGCACCGCAAGGATCTCAGGCAGGTCCAGGATCAAGCTGTGGTCCAAGATCAAGCTGAGGTCCAGGATCAAGTTGAAGTCCAGGATCAGGCTGAGGTTGAGGATCAAGCTGAGGTCCAGGATCAGGCTGAGGTCCAGGATCAAGCTGAGGTCCAGGATCAAGTTGAAGTCCAGGATCAGGTTGAGGTTCAGGATCCGGCTGAGGTCCAGGATCAGGTTGAAGTCCAGGATCAAGCCGAGGTCCAGGATCAAGCTGAGGTCCAGGATCAAGCTGAGGTCCAGGATCCGGCTGAGGTCCAGGATCAGGTTGAAGTCCAGGATCAAGCCGAGGTCCAGGATCAAGCTGAGGTCCAGGATCAGGCTGAGGTCCAGGATCAAGCTGAGGTCCAGGATCAAGCTGAGGTTCAGGATCAGGCTGAGGTCCAGGATCAAGCTGAGGTCCAGGATCAGGCTGAGGTCCAGGATCAGGTTGAGGTCCAGGATCAAGCTGAGGTCCAGGATCAAGCCGAGGTCCAGGATCAAGCTGAGGTCCAGGATCAAGCTGAAGTCCAGGATCAAGTTGAGGACCAGGATCACAGTCAAGCTCACAGTCCAGGATCACAGCCGAGGTCCAGGATTAAGAGTTCAGGATCAAAGTCAAGGATAGGATCAAGCCGGGTCCAGGATCACAGCCAAGGTCCAGGATCAATCTGAGGTCCAGGATCAAGCAAAGGTCCAGGATCAATCTGAGGTCCAGGATCAAGCAAAGGTTCAGGATCAAGCTGAGGTCCAGGATCAAGCAAAGGTTCAGGATCAAGCTGAGGTCCTGGATCGCAACCGGGTCCAGGATCAAGCTAAGGTCCAGGATCACAGTCAAGGTCCAGGATCAAGCCGAGGTCCAGGATCAAGCCGAGGTCCAGGATCAGAGCCGGATTCACAAAACCCCAATACATAATCTCACAAAGCAAATCAGTCTTTGCCGTAAGGAGACACAACCCTCACACTGTCGGACAATGAGTTTGGACTGTGTTTAGACTGAGCTGCTGTGGACTCAGACTTTTGTAGCCACGATTGTTGGAACGACAGATTTCACATTTAGTAAAAGAAATAAGAGGAACTTTATTTGTCGTAAGGATCACACAAAATATCCAATACTAACTCACGCTAACAATACTTCTTAGCTAGCAGCATAGTGTTAAATATATACTTATCTGATTTTATCTTGTGTGATTGTTTCTATATGTTTTGTTCAGAGCTTTGAGATGCTTTGTGTATAAACTGTGCAATACAAATAAACTTGCCTCGCACAAAAACCCATTGCATTTGCTGCAGGATTTGGCGCATTACCTCGAGGATGGCGCGGCGGTCTGAGAGTCGCATTCCTGCCTAAGAGCTCGGTCCTGAACGACGCTGACTCTTACAGGAGACGACAGATGGACATACTCCAGTGCACACAAATACACAGGCACTGAGCATGACCACCATAATGAATATGTTTAGAGGAGAGAGGAGGACTGAGGGAGGAGGAGGGAGGAGGACTGAGAGGAGGAGGGAGGAGAGAGGAGGGAGGAGGACTGAGAGGAGGAGGGAGGAGAGAGGAGGGAGGAGGACTGAGAGGAGGAGGGAGGAGAGAGGAGGGAGGAGGGAGGAGGATTGAGAGGAGGAGGGAGGAGAGAGGAGGGAGGAGAGAGGACAGAGGAGAGGCGAGAGGAGAGAGGACAGAGGACAGAGGAGGGAGGAGAGTCGAGGGAGGAGAGAGGAGAGAGGAGAGGCGAGAGGAGAGAGGACAGAGGACAGAGGAGGGAGGAGAGAAGAGGGAGGAGAGAGGAGAGAAGGGATAAGAGAGCAGAGAGGCGAGAGAGGACAGACGAGGGTTAGGGAGGAGGGAGGAGGATTGAGAGGAGGAGGGAGGAGAGAGGAGGGAGGAGGGAGGAGCGAGAAGAGAAGACAGAGGGGAGAGGAGAGAGGAGGGAGGATGGAGGGGAGAGGAGAGAGGACTGAAAGGAGAGAGGACAGAGGAGAGAGGAGGGAGGAGAGAAGAGGGAGGAGAGAGGACAGAGGAGAGGCGAGAGGAGAGAGGACAGAGGACAGAGGAGGGAGGAGAGAAGAGGGAGGAGAGAGGAGAGAGGAGAGGCGAGAGGAGAGAGGACAGAGGAGGGAGGAGAGAAGAGGGAGGAGAGAGGAGAGAGGGGATAAGAGAGCAGAGAGGCGAGAGAGGACAGACGAGGGTTAGGGAGGAGGGAGGAGGATTGAGAGGAGGAGGGAGGAGAGAGGAGAGAGGAGGGAGGAGAGAAGAGGGAGGAGAGAGGACCGAGGAGAGAGGACCGAGGAGAGAGGACCGAGGAGAGAGGAGAGAGGACAGAGGAGAGAGGACCGAGGAGAGAGGAGGGAGGACAGAGGAGAGAGGGAGGAGGAAGGAGGAGAGAGGAAGCTACAACATCCAGAGTCTCTTTCCCTGGTCTCTCTCTCTCTCTCTCTCTCTCTGGTCTCTATGGTCTCTCTCTCTCTCTCTATGGTCTCTCTCTCTGTCTTTACTATACAAACACAAAGTCTAAATAAGCACCCAACCATTTTTTGCAGGACAACTATCAGCCGGAGGACAGTCTGTTTAAGTGAATGCTGGTCTCATTTGTTTTGGTTGATTTTTCCACATTCCTGATCCTTACCAGAAGTGACTGAAATGGAACCCAGCAGGCCTGGCCACTTCAAAGCTCTCTCCATTTTTATTTAGCCATGTTCCATTTATTCTGAAAATGTTAAATATCAATAGCTCAAGGACGTGACAGAGACGAACCAGCAATGTGGCAAATAATTGAATGAAAAGGCAAATTATTCCAAACAGTAATTACACTACATTTCATACAGTCTGGAATATGCATGTGTTGGTGACCGCCATGCTCCCAAATCGAACAATTTGATATTCTTTCAGTATTAAGAGACTTAACAGAGAGGAGACCCAGCAGTAGCATCAGCAGCAGGTCTCTCTCTAGTATCTCTAGTCTCTCTCTGGTCTATCTAAGGCCTCTCTCTGGTCTCTCTCTGGTCTATCTAAGGCCTCTCTTTGGTCTCTCTCTGGTCTATCTAAGGCCTCTCTCTGGTCTATCTAAGGCCTCTCTCTGGTCTCTCTCTGGTCTATCTAAGGCCTCTCTCTGGTCTCTCTCTGGTCTATCTAAGGCCTCTCTCTGGACTCTCTCTGGTCTATCTAAGGCCTCTCTCTGGTCTCTCTCTGGTCTATCTAAGGCCTCTCTCTGGTCTCTCTCTAGTGTCTCTAGTCTCTCTCTGGTTTCTCCCTCTTTCTGGACCGTGTCTGGTCTCTCTCCGGTCTCTCTCTGGTTTCTCCCTCTTTCTGGACTGTGTCTGGTCTCTTTCCGGTCTCTCTCTGGTTTCTCCCTCTTTCTGGACTGTGTCTGGTCTACAGTATCTTTGGTCTCTCTGTAGGTTCTTTCTTTAGTTTTCTCTCTAACCTTTTTTAAATGTTCAATAAATGTACAAATCATTTAAAAAGAAAACTTTGCAAAAAATGAATGAGCGTTAGAATTGAATGCCCTCTCCCACCCTCTAGTCTTATTCTGCTTTAGCTCTCTGGTCTTTCTCTGGTCTCTCTCTGGTCTCTCTCTCTAGTCTCTCGCTCTCTAGTCTCTCTCTAGTCTCGCTCTCTAGTCTCTCTCTGGTCCCTCTCTTATCTCTCCCTCTGGTCTCTCTTTAGTCTCTCTCTCTGTACCCAGCAGCAGCAGCAGCAGTGATTTCAGACACGTAGGTGGGACGGGTCAGACTGGAGACAACGTCAAGGTGAGCTCGGGGCGTCACTAATGAAGGGTCAAGTGCACATCGGACTGAAGCGCTCACTCAAGTACCTGCCCGCTCCTCTGCCACCTCCACACGCTCACACAACACGCACACGGCTGCACAAACACATACAAAGAGCCCCATTGTGCTAACGACGGGCCCCGCTGTGATGACCCCGGGCCCTCGGACACCGGCGGGCTGCTGGCCGTGACCCCTCAGCGCCATCTCCCACCGTGGGTAAGCGAGGGGCCGATACCACGTCTGATATTGAGGATACAGTTTGTTTACAAAGGACAACAATAATAAACATATTCTATTTGGCTTTGCTCCCAAACCGGTCTTACCAGCCTGGTCCTGGTCTATATGCAGGAATTTTATCGGAATGAGCAGAAGGGGCTTTCAAGGGTGTCTCGTAACTTTGGATTATTACTCAAACTTCTGAAGAAAAATCGAAAGAAAATAGCTAACATTCATACAGTATAATAATTTAGCCCAAACAGGGATCTCATAACACACTTTATACAAAACACACCGGAACAGACAGTGGCGATAAAGCTCCAGTACTTGACTTTGCAAATGTTTTACTTTGTTGCTAGGCAGAAAAAAACGGTTCCATCTGCTCAGTCATTGTGTTTTTAGCTTTGTTAGCTATGGTTAGCAAGCAAGACAATACCTGGACAAAAGCCCTGTTTCCACCAGAAACACTTGGAGCACGACTGTTTTGATTTCAACCAATTTTTCATGACTCCTTTAACGTATGTGTTGCGGCAAGACATTCTGTTATTCTTTAGTATCTGTTACTGTATCTTCACAAGCATTTAGAACATTTTAGTACCAGAGCAGACTAGAGCCAAGTAGGGCTGGTGGAAACGGGGCTTAAGTCCTTCTACCTGTCACTGTGGTGTGTCCCCTGTTTATCGCCTGCTCTTATCAGCGCCACACTCCTGCAGGTCAAACGCTCAGGAAAATGTCAACCATGAGCGTTTAGACACATATTTGACTAGTGCTTGTCTCGTGCCTCTATCTGTGCGTCTGGTTTTAACGACTACTGGAAAGATAGAGCCGTGCCAAAGCCGCTCATCCTTAAAATACCACCGGAATATTTATACGTGGTGGAACGTGATCAAAAACGCCGCTCAAATATTTGCCCAAGCTGTTTATGTTAAGACAGATGCAGTATTATGCAGTTATTATGCAGAGTTTGTACTGCTATAGGCATTCACCAGCTTTACTACATTGGAACCTGGAGTTGTTTTTAAGTAAGTAGTTTACGCAAATGTAGCTCCGCCCCTTAATAGTATGACGTCATTGTATCATTATGACATCACACTCAGAGCAGATTCCTAAAACAAAAATACAATACAATACAATACAATACAATTTATTCTTGTATAGCCCTAGGTCACAACAGAAGTCATCTCCGAGGACTTAACAAAACCATTGAAATCACCAACACAGGTCAGAGAACCAACAGTTAAAACACATGAAGAATATAAAGCACACACAGAAGAAAATGTCCATACATGTTGTAGAATGCTAAAGTGTCCTGATCATCACCAATCCTTTCTGTTGGACACTAACTGTCCAACAAGACCCTCCTGCATCGACAAGGAAAAACTCTTAAAAAACCCAGTGGGAAAAAGTGAGAAACCTTGGGGAGAACTAGGGAAACCCACAGGGAGGGAGACCCATTTGAGAAAGGGATCCGCTCCTCCGGACGGACAGGCTAATGATCCAGGACCTAAGCTAGCTACAGAACGTGGACCAGTGGCCGCTGAACGTGGACAGGTCCGGTGCAGGACCGAAGCACTCCCAGGCGGGTCCCTATTAGTTTAGATGATGTTTTAGGCAAAATGACGCTCTTTAAATTCAAATGTCCTCCCCCTAGTGGTAGTATAGGGAGATACAGGCAGAAAGCTTTTTTATTTGACCATATATTAATTTATATTTGAGTTATTTTTTTATTTTCTATAAACATGAGACATATATAAAGTCAAAAAGGAGGAAGTTAGCGCTTTATTTACCGACAGAAACAATGAATTAGTCACACTCAGTGCAGTACGCTTCACTTCTCGTTTGCCAAACCACCAAACCCAGAAGTTAGGGAACTGAGATCCTTAGCGAAGGAAATATTTTTAATCTATTCCATTTTGTTCCGCTTTATTTCGTTGCCGCGGTTGCGTGGACATCAGTCTGAGCACAGAGTCTGAGACGCTCAGACTCTCCTCTCTGCAGACACTTCCTCCAGCTCATCTGGGAGAATCCTGAGGCGTTCCCAGGCCAGAGAGAGACCAGAGTCCATCTGGGTCCTGGGTCTTCCCCAGAGATTATCCCAAACAGATGCCAGAGCCACCTCAATTGGCTTCTCTACATGTGGCGAAGCAGCGGCTCTACTCCGAGCTCCTCACCCTACGTCTAAGGGGCCGCACAGCCAATCTGCAAAGGAAACTAATGTGGGCCGCTTGTAACTGCGATAAAGTCTTTTCAATCATAAACGAAAGCTTATGGCCAGAGATGAGATTAGTAATGTACACAGACCGGTATACTGAGAGCTCTGAATGCAGACGCTACTCCCTCTTCACCACAACATTCTCACACAGCTCTGACGGCAGACACTGCTCTCTCTTCACCACAACATTCATTTTTGTGGTAGGGGAAACCAGGGTATACTTGGAAAACCTAAACCAGGGGTCTCCAACCTTTTTTTCAATCAGAGAGCCACTTTTATGTGACAGAAGAGGCTTTTTTTTAAGATAAAAAAATGAGACGACACATGGGGAAATATACTATAATACTGTATGACCCTATGTTCATACTTAAATGTAATGGCTCAAAAATGTCATCTGTTCTAAATCCTTTGGGGAGCTACCTGGAAGGGGGTGGCGAGCTACTTACTTAAACAAGCACACACAAGGAGAACATGCAAACGCCACACAGAAAGGCCACCGTGCCGCTCCCTCCGTCAGACCAACAATAAGCAGCCTCTAACCAAAGAAAAGGACACAGGCTTTAAAGTTGGCTCAGGGCGGGTGCAGGTCTTTTGATAACTGTTATTCACTGGTCTTTGGTAATCAGAGCTTCCTGGTTCCCTGCATTGTGAGGACCGTATCCTGTGTTCACTACAAAGTTAATGACACACAATTGGAAGGTGGGTCTCTTTAATTGTTCTGCAGAGAATCAGTACGTGAGCCCAGGGGTAGAGGAGAAACACACTATTATACTGCTGTACAATCAGACCCTGCAGTAAATGTTCAGACACCAGTTTCAGGAAGACATCAGAAGGTAGTAAGTATTTTCTTGTTTATTTCAGTTCAATTCAATTTTTGTGTGTAGCTGCGCATTAAAAGGAGTGAAGAATAAACAGGCCTAGGGATGTAAAAAACTATGACTTTTCATGACCGACCACCGAGCCTCATTAACCGGTTGAAACCGGTTAACTGCGTAGTTTAAAATAGTCCACGTTTTTTGAAATAACAGCCATTTCGAGCCGCGTACTTTTCATAAGAGCAGCTCTGCGTTCTACTGGATCAGAGTTGAGACAGCGGCGCCCAAACCCGCAACAGCTCCGGCACCTTTGCGCACAGAGAACCATAGACGTCGGAACTAGGGGTGCGGGGGGTGCGGCCGCACCCCCTCCGCGTGTGGCGGGAGCGAGAAGTTATCACTATCCTGCGTTCCTTGCAGCCCAAAACCCGCTCCATGCTGTCGGAGAAGCTTATGAAGCTCTGTCTGGCTAATATCTGTCGCAGCCTCTGAGTGCTCTTTCTCAGCCTTGCGCAGATTAGAGACCTGGCTACACCAGTGGCGTGCGGTGGGGTGGGGGATCAATCATATGATTATACATCATATAAACCTTATACACAATTTGTTTGGCTACAGCAGAATAAGATTTAATGTCTGCATAGTTTTCTCATACAAAACGCAAACGTTTGTAAAAAGTACAAAGTGCGTTATGGGCCTTACCTTAGGTATTAATGAACAGCACAGACCACTTCAGTTAGGACCAGTTTCATGTTTAAGTCCAGATAATAGTTTGAGCACAGACATGTAATCCTCCATTTGGAAATAAGTTCAATGAGTTTTAAAAAGTAAAACAAACGGGTGTCTCCTCCGTAAACTCCTCGAGTTTTGCTGCAGCCGACTCCCGGGTAAATCCAATTTCTAAATTCAACCTTACCCTTCACCTCCTTTTCTTTTGATTCAGATCATCATTGGAAGCAAAACATTACTCTATGTGCATTTTAAATGATCTTAAAATGTATTATAGGTATGTTAGCCAAACCTGTAGCTGCCCTTAGCAGAAGAAGAACAAGAAAGGAGCTTTCTGATGGAATTGGATGCAGCCAAAGTTTGGGCACACAAGCGCCCCCTTGAGGCTTTCCTCACTTACAAGCTGTGGTTGAGCGCGATTAAGACCCATATATGCTTCAAAAACACAATTTATGAGCCATCCTCTTAAATGTAAACATGTTGATTGTAAATTAAATATTTTTGAACTTTTTAAACTGTGATAAACAGAGAAAACAGTTTGATAGCACCTCACAGGACTCTCCCTGTGAGCTGTTGCTTTTACGTCTCCCAAGAGAGGCTTGCCTCACAGCGCCGCTCTGTCAAATCTGCAATTTCAAGGTATAAATAAATGAAATAAGGCAAAGTTACATTGAAATAATGTACAGCACAAATCACTTGATAAAGTGACCAAACATTATTGTATCCATTTTATTACTTTTCTTTCTATGATCTTATGCGGACCACCTATAGGTGAGGGCCTTACCTGCCTCATCTCATCTGACCGCACGTCACTGGGCTACACAACACAATGAAGCCACCGGAGAGACTGACGCATGAATGCGTATTGAAAAAAACAATGTTCAGTTTGATAAGTGACTTGCTTGATATATATTGTTTATTTTTTGTTTTCTTAACAATTAAGATGGTATGTTATTATCCAGTGTAATCCAAGTATGAGTCTCTCCCTCGACTCTCCCAACAAAAACCCGCCCCCCCTCTCAGAAAATAGTTCCGACGTCCATGCAGAGAACTGCTTTTTTAATCTTCCCATTCTGCTGTGCTGCGGGTTAATACCAAAACTTTCTAGCAGCAAAGACGGCTCGTTCACATGGTCAGAGCAGCGAGTGACGAGCCGCGTCTCACAGGTCTTCACAAAAGTTTAAATACAAGTGATGTGTGTGGAGCTGATCCCGAGGACCATAAACACAAACATG